CACCCTTATTCTTTGAGTATAATAATATACAAAGTACATAAAATATACTTGGAGTATATAATAATATACTTTGGAGTCCTTGAGAGCAGGGACTGTCTTTTACCTTTCTTTGTGTCACTAGCACTTAGCACAGTGCCTGGCATATAGCAAACACTTAGTAGACGCCTGTTGACTGACTAAATTTAGAACTGGAAGGAATCTCAGAAACCGTATAGATTTAGATCTGGAAGGGACATTACCGGCCACTGTGTCCAACCTCCCCTCCCCCAATTTTGTCCAGGTTCATGGCAGAATTTGAGCCTAAGCCCTCCCAACTCCAAGTCTTGTGCTTATCCGTTACACCATGCTGTCTTTTTTATCTAGTTCTAAACATTCCTTTTACAGATAAGATTGTAAAAACTAAATGACTTGTCCAAGGTCACACAGACCTCAAGAGAGGGATTGAACCTAGGTTTTCTAATGTAAATCCAGGGGACTGCAAATGTATTTTCAGCTACAAAAAGCCACACACAGAAAGATTCTGCTGTTAGCAACAGATGTGTGGACTTGATCAGATAGAAAGGAAAGCTTACTGTATGTGCTAGGATTCAGAATACTTATATTGGAGCCCTTTCAGCCAGTTTCTACCTGGGTAGAACAAACCACTCACCCCTTCTCTGTCTCTCACTGTTTTTCTGTGTCTGTCTTTGTTTCTGTATCTCTGTGTGTGTTTCCCTCTGCCTCTTCCTCTCTGTCTTTGCCTGTCTCTGTCTCTCTCTCCATTACTTTACATCTCTGTCAAATGAGCAAACAGACCAGATGACCTCTAATGTACTCACCCCAAAATGATATGAACCTAGTTTATTTTATAGAACTTTATTATATTACTCAGTCTGAAAAAAAATGTTACAGACTACCAGTGCTGCCAGGGTTTGGGGAAAAGGGATGCAAATAGTTAGAGCAGGAAGAGATCTTCCTAGAAGAGATGAGGTTTGAGCTAAGCCTTAAAGGATGTGGAGACTTTGAAAAGGTGGAAAAGAGAGAAAAGCATTCCAAGCAAGCAATGATATTTCCATTGACACCAATGATATTCACTTCTTCTGCTACCAAAGCCAGTTTCCAAAGACAGGAAAACAGTGTCATTTGCTTCTCCTAGACAGGTGTGTTAGGCTGCATGCTCTGGAAGTCACGTAGTCAGAGGCTCTTGGAAGGTGTTGATTATATTTTCAACAATGGCTAGGTCAATGTATGTTAGATAAACTTCAACATCATTTGGCTTGAATTTAAAGTGAGACAGACAACCTAGACAGCTCTAAGACTGTGGATGTCTTTTTTTCAAAAAATGTTTTTATTTTCCTTTTTTTAACATCACCATAGTTTTCCCCACTATCCCCTTCTTCTCCTCCTAGAGAACCATCCTATACAGCAGTCATTTTTAAAGATACACACACAAAATTTAAAAAAAAAAAAAAAGGAGAGGAGAGGGGAGGGGAGATTAGTGCAGGGGAGGGGAAGGAGGAGAGGGAAAGGGAGGAGGGGATGGGAGGGCAAGGGAAGAGAGGAGGGAAGAGGAGGAGAGAGGAGAGGAGAGAAAGAAAAAGAGAAAAATCAGCTTAACTGGTCAATACATGAAAAAAGTCTGAAAACATGCGTGATGTACGCATGTACCTCTGCAAAGGGATGTAGTAAAAGTGTTTTCTCATCTCTCTTCTTTTGAGCCGTGCTTATTCTCTACAATTTTCTCACATTCACATTTCTTTTTTTTTTTTGTGGTTGTTCTTTACATTGTGAGGGTCGTATGTGTTATTTTCTTGCCTCTGCTTACTTTACTCTGCATCGGTTCACATAGGTCTTTCCAAGTTTTCTGTATTCATCACATACATTTCTTACAGCACAGTAACATTCCATTAAATTCATGTACCATGATTTGTTTAGCTACTCTCCCAATTGATGGGCATCTACTTTGTTTCTAATTCTTTGCTAGGGTAATGTCTTCTGAGTTGACCATAGGGTTTGAGCTAAAAGCAGGGGTCTTCTAGAGCAACCCTGTTCTAGCTCATGAGAGGTGATCATTAAATTTTCAGTGTGATCAAATGGTATACGTCAGGGTTTGATTTGTTGTTTTTTAATTATCTAGATTTAACAAAAGTGATACAGAAAATATTAATAATACAGATTGAACTTACTGTGTCATGCATACTTTTTTTTTCAGTGAATCATTGGTTCAGCATTTACCAGTATGTCCCTGGCTAGAAATAACCTTAAATATCATCCTAATGGGCCACTACAGATGAAGAAATTGAGGTGACTTTGCCAAAGGCAAAAGTATAGAGGCAAAGTGACTTGCCAAGGACAGACAGAAAGTAAGCAGGAGAACAAGGATTCAAACCTAGATTCTATGACCCCAAACCCAATGTTCTGTCCATCACACCATACTTCCCTCCCTGGGCAAAGGTTGAAAAAGGCCTTAAGATTTGGTAAACATTTCATCTCTACTATGTGCTCTCTCTCTCTCTCTCCTTCAGTCCTTCCCTTCCTCCTTCTGTCTCAAAAGTGTTACATATATAGAATTACATATATGTACATATATACAGTATATTAATATACAAAACCTCAACCATCTTTCAGAAACAATTTCTTTTTGCTGAAACAAAAGGGTGCACAAAATCACACTAGACAGCCCAAATGCCCTTAACACCTTTGACACTGTTCTAGAACCACAGGCCAAGATGGGGCTTCCTTTGGCTCAATAAAAGTCAAGAAGAGGAAGTGGAAGGTTTCTGCTGGTCAGCCCTCTAAGCCTGTGGCTGGCTTTACAGGAAACCAGCCCCAAAGCAGGGCCTGAGAAGGTCTTCATCAAGGGCTGTTTCTCATTCTCTGGCATGCATTTGAGAAGGATCCCCAGGAACCATTGGATTCCAGAAGCTCCAAGTTCTACATCCAGGTAAAGCTGAAGGGTTTCACTCTGTCCCAGTCTCCCAGCTGTCCAGCCATGCCCATGTCCAGGTCTCAAAGAGGGTATTTTTTTACAAGAATCTACAGAAAAGACCTTGCATAGAACATCTGAAGGCTGAAGAGCAAATCTACTCTTTTAACTCAATTTTTAAAGAATTCCTCTTTCTGCAAAGGGGGGGAAATCAATACAACTACTTGTAATTTATTGAAAAACTAGATCTTTTCAACAGTAACTTTTTTCAGTAGATGGGCTAAGGTCTCTGGTTAAGTTAAAGTAGATCATGTCAGCATCTGCCTTTCCATGCTGCTTTTTTTTCCCCTAAGATTGCGTGAAAGGAAAAGAGCTCTACATGCAGACTGCTCTGTGTTTTGAATTAAAGGAGAGTTAGATCTCATGGCCTGGAGAAAAATTGTATTTTTCTTTTTAAACTATCAGCTGTCTCTATGGTGTTTGGTTTTTGTCATTTCTTAATATAACTCTTTTTTTTGCTAATCTTACATCTATTAAGAATGGGTGTCATCAGAAGAAATATCGGGCTTGTTCTCCTTGACTTCTTAGGGAAGAATAAGGAGTACTGGGTAAAGAAATATATTGGCCCACTCTAATTTCCTAAAAGTGTCAACATCTTTGTCATTGTTCAAAGACCACTGCCCAAAAGGTGGGCTAACCAGCAAACACCTTCTACTTCCTCTTCTTGGCTTCTTTTGAGCCAAAGGGAGCCCACTCTTGGTCGGTGGTCTTTGAACAATGCCAAAGGTGTCAAAAGCATTTTGGCTACTTAGTCTGATTGTCCGCCCTTTATTGTTTCAGCAAAAAAGAAATTGTTTCTGAAAGATGACTGGGTTTTTTGTACACTGATATGCTAAAAGTAATATATGTATATACATATACGTGTGTGTTATGTGTGTGTGTGTATCACTCTTTTGACAGAGAGACAGGGAGGTATGGAGAGAGGGGTGGGGAGAGAGAAGTATGGTAGTTACATAAAATTGGAAAAAGCCTCTTCTGGAGTTAGTGAGTTCCACCTGATTCTGCCTTCAAGCAGAAGCTAAAGGATCATAGAGAACTTGGGTTCAGAACACTAGATTGTGGGTTAGAAGACCAGGATTCAAATCCAATTCTGCCATTTACTATTTGTGTGACCTTTTCTAGGCCTCACTTTCCTCATCTATTAAATGACAGAGGGAGAGGGGCAGAGAAACTAGCTCAGGGGTTCTTAAACTTTTGGGACCACAGACTCCTTTGCCAATCTGGTGAAGTCTGTGGACCCCTTCTCAGAATATTTTTTAACCATTGAAGAAAATAATAATTTTTAGGTTGAGTTTAATGAAAATAAAGATGTACAGTTTGGTTTTGTATCCAAATTCATGGACTCCCCCGTGAAATCTATTCAGAAGACGTCAGCTCATGTCTCATTTCTGGCATTAAATCACCTTGGGGCAGTCACTGAAACTCCTCAGACCTAAGTTGCCTCCTCTATAAGAGAAGGATGAAAATATTTACATTTTCTACCTCACTGGGATGTTATGAAGAAATCTCTTTCTAAACTTTCTAAAGCAATAAGCTCTATGTGACTGTGAGTTGCTAACTACCATATATAAAATTAATAAAGATTAATTTAAACGTCTTTTTAAAAGAAGATAATCATCTTGGAGAAGTGTTCCTGTGCTGATCAGGTGACATTTCCCTATTTGTCTCACAGGGCTGTTTGGAGGATCAAATGAGATAATCTATGTAAAGCACTTTGTGAACTAGAAAGCATTACATATGCTTTCATTGTTATTCTTTCCCTACAGTCCTTCTGTGATTCCTCATCCCAGCCTAGAGGTGACCCTAGATTCTTAAAGGCTATGGCAATGAAGTGTAAATTTGAGCACACCCTACCAAGCTGCAAAAGCTTCTAGTACAGGCCTGTTGGTAAATTTTCTATCTGTTGTCCAAGGATGGGCCTTGATAAGTTCAGAAAAGATGTTTCGCTTTTTGTTTAGTTTTATCTTAATAAATTCAGATAAGATTTTTATTGTGTATTGTTTGGTCACTGAAACTCATGAATCCTTCCACTCAGTTATAGAGGTTGAGATCTATATCCATGACGAGAACATCCACACCAACAGAATCATGGATCATTAAAGTATTGAAGAAAGCAACATCATCATCATCATCATCATCACCATCAATAACCATAACAAGGTACGGGTTCTTTAATAGATTTAGAGCAGAAGAAGACCTTAAAGATCATCTGATCCCAGCATTTTATCTTACAGATAAAAAAATTTAGGTCAAGAAATAGAAAGTGATTTATACAGGGGAAAACAAGTAGTGAATGCTGCAGTGTGAGATTGAGACCAGGCCTTTGTTGTGAAACACAACACAGTTTCCACAGCATGTTCAGCACGTGCTATTTCCTTTTTTTTTCTAAACTAACCATGACATGCAATTTCCCATCTCATCAACTTCTTAGCCTCTGATGCTTGAAAGGGTTAAGTCATCAACAAAGGGAAATGAAAACCTGAATTGAAATTAGTTCTGATTAGAAATCACAACAGAGAGAAATAAAACACTGAGCATATGGAGAGCTAACTACTTAGTCTTCTTCGTCTAGGAGTAAAAAATGTGTCAGAATAAGCATCAACAATGTGTTAATGTTTTCTTTTTTTCCCTTACTTTTTTTATTCATTTCCTAAGTTTTTGTATTTTGTTCTGGACAATGGTCCTTTGGGGACCATTGTCAAAATTATTTTTCTTACTGGTATAATATCAAATGGTTTGAAAGCATTTTCACATACATTCTATAATCTGATCTTCATTACAACCCTTTGCATTAACCTCATTTTGCAGATACAGAAATCTATGACCAAAATGAAATAGCGAATATGTCACGGAATCATGGAATTTTAAAATATAAAATATAGGATGTTCATACTGGATGGGTCGTTAGAACATAGGATTTCAGAGCTAAAAGAGACCACATAACACAGAACAACAGATATAAAAAGAAAGAGCTAGACAGAATCTTTAAGAATAGAACATTGGAAATGGAATGGGTCTCAGAGATAATCTTGTGTTCATTTTACAGATGCACTTAAGAAAAGCTAGGAAAGGTGAATTCATTTGCAGAAGGTCATGTGCAATATCAGTAGGAGAGCTTTCCACCAAAAGTGGGGCAAATACAGTGCCAACCCAGGTCTTCCAATCCCAAGTCCAAGGCCTTACCATTTGCAACATGCCACAGTCCAATCTTTGCACTTGAAGAAATATGGTCACGGTTTTGCTCTCACAATTGAATTTCTGTGATGGTTTGTGACTCCCAGATGCACTGCAAATGATAACAAAATGCTTATGTGAGCTTGGCTCATTGTTTTCAATAGTGTGTTCATTTAAAATACCTCATTCAAAACTTTTATTGACTAGAAATGACCTTCCAATGTCTTAGCCTGACAACATGTATATTGTTTTTGCTGTTTTGTTTTCTTAGTAAAATGAATTGAATGATCCATGCCTAGCAGTGTGCTGCTACATGTGGTCATTGTCTTCAGAGAGGTCAAGGACATTCATATAAAAGGTGTGGTCTTGATTTCTCTGACTTCTGAAGGCAGAAGTAGGGTCAATGGGCATAAGTTTTTGGGAGACATTTGGGGCTCCATATTAAGGGGCTTCCTAACAAACAGAGCTGCCCACTATGCCGTGAGAGTCCTTGTCATTGGAGAGATTCAAGTGGAATCCAGATGACCATTTGAGGGGCCAAATAGACTAGAAGACTATTTGTAGAGAATGTACAGAAATGTTTCATGCTTTAGAAAGGGGCTAACAATCACCTCTAAAGATGTCCTCCAATTCTAAAATCTGAATATTCATCAACTTTTTGGTCCAAAGAAAATGATGTTTCCACATTAACCTCATTTATAGTCTAAATGTTGTCACTCCTGAAACCATTGTCTTTCACTACACTATTTTCTAAAAAAAAAATGAGCTGAAAAAGAAAATGACAACTGCAGATGAGAGAGAGACAGAGAGAGAGAAAGAAGACAAATAAAGAGGCAAATGCAGTTTTAAAGAGCAGGCAGAGACAGAGATACACAAAGAAAGAAAGTCACCCCCTTCAGTGGCTGATATATCAGCTCATTGCTTTTTTTCTCAAATTCTCTTTAATGCTAATTATGGTCAGTGGCAATGGAAATATCAGGAGAAGATGACTCAAAAAACAAGCAAAAGAAAACACCAGAGGCACTGCAGAAGAAAAATTTAGAAACTATTGATTAGATAAAGTCATTTCAGATTTTATTAAAGATCTTTTAAAATAAAATTTGAAAAAATAGACACAAAAGCACATTGCCCTGAGACCCTTAGTGGGAGTAACTCCTTAGCTAAGATAGTTATAAAAATCATCTACAAATGTTTTATCCTTAATAGCAGAAAAACTAAGAGTGTAGTCTGTTTTGTTCTTTGAAAAAAAAATCTTTCCTAAGTATCCATTTGACTTCAAATCTCTCCATTTGTTGGAAAGCAAATAAGATTAAATGTAACATTTAATTAAATTGAGCTGATTTGCTTGAGTACAGGGTGGAATTTTTTTTTAATCTACTCAGCACATATTTCCTCTCTTGTATACATATCACTGAAATGTATTTCTCCCTCTCTAAAAGAGAAAAAGAAAAAGGACCTTTCTCTGAATCATTACCAAATAAACAACTCTTCAGATCTGAGCAAAGTTGATTTCAAACTTCTTGCTTATAGTAAAAAAGATGGGTTTTTTGGTTTTTTTTCTCCAACACATACATCATTTTGGACAGGGCTGAAATGATTCTGTGAAATCTGAAGAATCGAATGTGTTGTCCTTAGCAACAGTGAAATGTGGCACATTTTAACTTGGAAAATAAAGAACCAAGAGTGCCCATAGAGGCCTTTGCTGCCAGCCTTGCTCAATATCCTTCCTTCAAACCATCTTTCTGTCCCCTGACCACCTTTTTTGCATCTTTAGATTTATTTGGGCCGTTTCTTCTGCTGGGAATTCTTCCCACTCCCATCCTTGCCTGTTGAATTTCACTCAGCTTGAAGGCCACCTCAAATATCACCTCCTCCAGGAACCCCCCCCTCCCCATTCTCTTCGGACAGTAACAACTCTCCCCTTCAAGAACCTGACACATTGAATTCTTTACTGCATTTCTCAGGTAATTTTGTGTATTACAGCTCTCCATGTTGGTGTATTAACCTTACCTCTACTTAATGAGGGGACCCTGTTAATAATGAGCCTCTCCTCTTGGAGACCCATGTGACACTTTACTTGTAACTCTCCCATGACTTTATAATGGTATATAGAGTATCATATTTACCTCGGAATCTCTATGACACATAGTAGATAGGGATCTAGCCTCAGAGCCACAAAGACCAGGGTTAAATCCTCCTCTCACACATACTAAATTTGTGTCATTGGGCAAGTCACTTAATATCTCAGTGCTTTAGGAAACTCTATAAGAATATTAATTACAGGAAAGAGGCCAACCTGCATTTGTACATAGAGGCCCCTCACCAGTATTCAGTAAAATCATACATCCTCTTCTCTTTCCCACATCCTTGTATCTTATCTTCTTACTCCAGGGCCCATCAGAATAGAGACTATAGCTATCCCTTCCACATCACAACTTTCCCCACTGCAATTTCAATATATCATGGGTCAACATAAAAAATTAAATGGGAATTTTTTGAGAGTTTTCTTTGAGAACAGATGCCACGCGAAGGCCCGGCAGATGACACAGAAAAAGTTTAGAAACTCAGAAATGCATAAAATGTATGTATAGTATTGTATAATATCAACATATTTTATCTTTTAATAGCTTATATACCTAATATCTTTGAATACCATCACAATTCAGACTTTTTCCTCTGGTACGAAGGGAGGGCCAAAAGATTTTACACTGATTTTCTAGATTGCAGAGGCACCACACCCCTAACCCCTGCAATGTAAAAGGTTTAACCATATTTCTGATGTAATCTCTGTAACCTCTGCAGGCAGCCAAAGAGTGTGAGTAGAGTGTTAGACTTGGAATCAAGGAAGATTTCAAGTCAAATACAGTCTCAGATACATAGTAGCTGTGTGACCCTGGTCAAGTCACTTCATGTCTGTCCACCAAAGCTTCCCCATCTGTAAAATGGGGATAATAAAAGCACGTGCCTCCAGGGCTGTTGTAAGGATCAAATGAGATGATATTTGTAAAGCACTTTGCAAACCTTAAAACTCTATATAACTTCTAGCTGCTATTGTTAGTGCTTTATACTGTGCTCTAAGCACAGTAGGAATTCAATGTATGAATATTGACCTGAATCTCTAAAATTGTCATTCCCTCCTCCAACCCCCACTCCCAAGCCAATACTTGAATAATTTCTCCTTCTGCATCTGGTCACTCTCTGTGCCTCCTTAAGCACATTATCATTGTTATATTATTTAAAAATTTTAAAAACATACCAGATCCAGACTACTATTTTTCTATATTTGAAGAGTAGATCTTTTTTCTAAATAGCATTCACTTTCCCTACCCCACCCCCTCCTTCAAATACTTGGTTTATTTTTTTTTTCTTCATGAAATATTCATTTAGGGTAAGGTTAAATCCAGCAGAAATATTTATGAAAAAATGTATTTTTTTTATAGCACAACCCAGAAAGACAAAGGGATTCCCCCTGGATAATGAGCATTTTCCAGGATAGGAAGGAAGCCTGATTTGTAGGCTTGTGAGTGTTCACTTTTGTAAACTTGCTTCTGTTATCACGTGGGTATTAATTATTTCTGGATTAAGTCTGGCACCCAAACCTAATCCATTTCCAAATAGATGCTTTCACTTACAAACTAGATGGTGTGTGTGTGTCTGTGTGTCTGTGTGTCTGTGTGTGTGTCTGTATGTGTGTGTGTTTCTGGAAGATTTACCAGCCTACATAGAGGGTATTCTGGCCTTACCATCCTGAACTGACATCTGTGTTTTCCGGGGAATATTAAACACAATTTGGTTTATAGTATTGTCTTTCTTCAGCTCATTTGAAAAAATAAAAAATAGGCTAACAAAAGACAATGATTTCAATCATTACCAGAAAAAGAGTATTCTAGTGAGAGAAATTGTTATTTTACTATTATATTAGTAACCAATTATTAAATTAAAATCCAGGTTTTTCTTATTTCTTCATTTAAAAAACAGCCCCTGTA